GTGCCAGCCTGTAACAATGGTCTGGCTCCTCTGATCACTGTGTGATATGGAGGCAGAATCCTCGCTGGCAGATCATGAGGACCAGACTACACAGCGTGATTCCTACATTCATGAGGAAATCGCTTGAGGAAAATCTGCATAACTGATTCCCAACTTTACATAATGCCTGTGCCCCTATCTTGCCCCAGCTCCATCTGTGGTTTATGTTCATTAATAAAATTGCTGTATAAATTTGCTTATAATAAGGCAGAAGCAGGGCCTAACTGGGGGGAAAAAAAACAGATGTCAGATTACAAATGGCAATTACTCAGGCTGTTCATTATCACATTAGCTAAAAGTCATCACAGAGTCCATCCATAATGTAAAACTCATAACGGTATAACACCTCGTGTGCATAGATCATTTGCATGTGTACATTAAATGTTTCTGTGGGCTTGAGGTCGATGAGGCTGCAGTCTAAGCTCTGCAACAATCACTTAGCTGTCTCGGCTTTGACTTAAGAGGAGAAAGGAAAGTCTTATCTGGCAGCTTGTTGGGTGTGAGGCTGTGTGCCCATTCCTTTATTGTTTTAAGCAAAGCAGCGGGGAGCCAACAAGCCATCATTTCTACACAGGACTCCACACCATAGATTTACTTTTTAAGCCTTACATCCAACTGCCGACTTTTAATGATGACCTTAAACGATAGATGTTGAATCATTGATGTTTGCTCCCTGAATAACCATTGAAACGGTTCAAATGTAGACCCAAGGTTACCTGTTCGGGTTCTGTTAAACGCAGCAGTGGAGCTTTACCATCACATCTGTAGTGCAAAGAGGTTCATTAATTTACCACAGAAGTTAGGTTCACCCATATAAAGGATTTCAGTACTTTTCAGGGCATGTCTTTGAACGCTAACCCCCTACCAATCCCCTCATTTTATTATGAACGGCAACATAATAGAAGAGGACTTTGCTATTCCGCGCTCTCCTTGTTATTCTCCAGGGATACGCAACCTTTTTAAAGAGACCTTGCCTGGTCCCTCCACTGGGTCCCTTCCCTTGGTGTGTTGTGAATGACCCACTGTTCTCTTGGGTTCTGGATGCCGGGATCGTCCTGATCCAAACAAACACTGTTTGTAGAACATCTTTGTTCTCCCTCAACCAGATTATGCATGGTGTAGTAGTCTGTACCAGCAGCTCCCAAACACACACACGCACACACACACTCACCCAGCCAGTGCATATGCATACAAACACATGCAAACACACACTCCCGCACATGCTCACTTTGTGCCTTTTTCAGAGACACAAAAACACACAAGCTCTCGTTGCCTAAAAATGGACTTCAATGAATGATTTTGCTCTAAGGCACAGGTTTAAAAAAAATAATTTCAAAAGTTGTTAAAGGAGGAATCTGTAACAAGGTCGAATAACCAGATCACCTCCTTTTAAGTTTTTAGGTTTCTCCTACATGAAACCCGGTACGAGCGACGGGAAGGTTTGTTCAAAATAGCATGCGAGAAAAATGCAGTCTTTTGGCCTTTACATGCGCAGCTTCCAGTAACGGTTAAGTGACTCAGCCCGCTTCACAAATAGTCTCCATGGAGGGAGTAATCACTTCAAATGTTAAATATAAGAATTATATTTCTCCTCACAGAGTAGGTTTGTGAAATAGCATTTCAAAGCCATCAGACTATTGATTGTAAATGAAGTGGAATGTGAGAGCTGTTGTCCTTGAGGCAGTGTGTATGCAAGTGTGTGATAATTCCCTGAGAAATGAAGACAACTTCCAACCTGCACACAGACCAAATTCTTTCTGAGCAAATGAAGCTTTGACCTTGGTCTTGTCTTACTCTGTGTTCCTGCATCAGACTATTCATCCACGCTGTGGATTGTGATAAATTCATGACAAGCTTGGAGTGTTTGAAGAGCTTACTCTGTGAATGATGCATTAAAAGGAGAAAATGGCTGAGAAGCAGAGGTCTGGAAAATCTGCACATGTACAGGCACACGTGGGAGATGCAAGCAGCTGACAATAACTAGTAAATAAGCTCACAATTAAAAAGACAAGGTGATGGTGATTACGCATAAAAGACTGAATGCAGCCAGTTATCAGGACATAAAAACAGGCTAAATGACCTCAACGCTATTAATTATTAATTCAGCTGGATAATTACACTCATTACAGACTATAGACTGTTGAACTCAGCAATGTTCCAGGCTGAGATGTGTAAAGTCAGAGTTGCGCGGGGCGGGGGAATGACCTCAGATAACAGCAGACAAAATGAATATCTGTGATTCGCATCAGCATGCAGGAGAACACTGATTGAAGTGGGCCCTCCAGTTGTTGGAGTTGCATGACTGTGAGGAGCCATCACAAAGAACACTCAACACCGAGCGTAATCACACGTATGTGCACGCATTTGAGCGCACACACACTCACGGAGCAATGGGGTGCATTGTGCCTTTTCTCTTGAGCTTTCTCAGCACTATTGGAGTTGGTGTTGCGTTTCAGGAGTGATAGCTGGCTCGATGGCTGCTGCTGCTGCTGCTGCTGCCGCCGCTGTTGCTGGGATTGGCTTTTCCCTGCAGATGCTGACAGGACACTTTGGGATGTCTCTGCTCCCCCCCACCTCCTGCGAGGTCCCCTGTAGGTGAAAGAAGAGCCCTACTGGCACCAGACCTGCCTCAACACAGCATAATGGAGCCAGGTGTGGTCCTGCATGGCTCAAGGAGGAGTGCATTAATGCTGTCAGGGCTGCAGGTTCCATCCTCTGTGAGTCAGCAGAGGACTTAAAGAGCCACTGGTAAATCTGATCCATTGGCTTTTCTAGTGTTATTGTGTGGTGGAGGGGAGGGAGAGAGAGAGAAAAAAAAATCCTCACACTTTCAAGAAGCCTTCAGAGATTTAGTAACACTACAAATAATGCCTGGCAGTTACGTGATCAACCTCCAAAGGCTTCAGGTTTCCTGCAGGGAAATCAGAACTGTGCAGGTCAGAGGGAGAAGTGCTCCACAAGTCTTTGCTCATTCAGGCTGCATTTTTCTGGCTCATCACAGCAACAATATTCATCCGTGCCAATTTACTGCGGTGTCAGAGGGGGGAAAAAAAGAGAAAAACGGGGAGGCGTGGGGGGAAGCAGAATGCCTACCTTTCCATCATCACTGTCCTGGTGCAATTTTATTTCAGCTGCGCGCCAGTAAAGACGGGATGAGGACGTGGACGCACTTTGAGCACCAAATCAAGCGCTCTGTGCCGCCTGTCTGTGCGTCTGTCCGGCTCTCCCTCGGACCTCGCGAGTCAATTTAGTCCTGCTAGTGGAGGAGAATCCGTTTATCCGCGGACTACACGCCGAGCTGCACCGCTTGGCTATTTCAATCTCGTTGTGGAAGCGGCCGCCTGACAGAGCCTGATAAAGTGAACTCGCGGACAAAGTGAGGAGCAATCCCTCACACTTTAGCTTACTCCATCAGTTTCGGTAAGCTCCATGGCTCGGTGATTTAATATCTCTCCAGTGTCTGGTGGCAGCCCCTCTCCTCTTTCTTCCCATAAATGAACGCGCACACACGCGCACATTGCAAAAGAAAAAAAGAAGTGCAACCTGTGAAGAAGATTTCAGATTTGAGGATTCACAACAGCAAAAACATCACCTGAGGCTCCGGAAAACATTACCTCAGGCGTAATTAAGTGCATACTCGACTATAAATAGCTGCAAATCACAAACTGAGAGTGTCAATAGGCCTGATGTGTGGTGCTGGATGATGCTCTAAAAAGCAACATATTCTACTTTGGTGGTCCAAACTTCCAAAAGGAAAATAAAGCTGATCACTTATCAATTGAAAGAATGGCGTCAGAGATTTATCTTTTGTTTCATAAAAAATCAGAATGTGCTGTGACAACAATAAATTCCCTGTCTTCGCTTGAAATCGCAAATAAAAGGCGTAAAAACCTACCGTATAGGCACAATGGGTATTCCGGGAGGGAGAAAAGATGCGCGTAAAACGCACCGGTCCCGCTGTGGATAGACGAGAAAGAGCAGGAGCTGTATTGTCCCCCGCTGCTGAATGAAATCCCCTCTTGTGTCGAGCAAAAGAAAAAAAAAAAAACCTCTTTGCAACTTCTCTTGTGTCATCTCTGCTCCATCGGGCGTGTGCGTCTGACCGGGGTTTGCTTCTTTTGATATCGTTGGAGGAAAGGTGCGCACTCACAGGCTCTTCCTCCGTGCTGCTGCTTCAAAAATATCCAATTTCACACTGTAGCTCTCTCTCTCTCTCTCTCTCTCTTCCTCTCTCTCCCTCTCTGTCCTCGCAGAATTCCCTTCTAGACCCGGTTAAATAATTGAACTGGATCCTGCAGGAGTTTTTTTTCCAGACTGAAGCGATCGAGTCCTTGTCGGATGTCATATCCTATTAATGTTTTGGCTTCAAGAAGAAAAAGAAGAAGAAAGATGTTCTTTTTGGTGCTGTGATGTGCGCATGATATACAGCAATAAGGGTGTCAATAATCCCACTGCTGTGTAACATTGGTAATTCTTATTGTCCAATAAGATTCCAGGAATGATGACATCAAAGGGGTATCTGTTCAATCGAGGTGGGATGACTTTGCGCAAAAGTAATTACTTGACATTTTTGGACATCTTAGAAATGCATGAGTTGTGTGTTGGCATTTAACTTTGGCTGCAGGTAGTGAGTGCAGACTCCAAATGAAGCTCGACTTCTAGTAGCCTAATCTAATTCCTGTTAGATAAGACAAAATAGCTACAGTATAAACATTTAATGTTAATTTTAATTTAAAGTGTCAAGTAAAATAGCCTGTATATTTTATTATGATTGCTATTGTGTTATTCATTTTATTTTTAGTGCATTTATATATATTTTAAACAATTAGGAAGCAAAGAGTGGTCTGTTGCAATAAATTGATAGGCTGCCACCCAAAGACGAGCGAACAATGCGGTCGCTCAACAGTGCGCTTCGTGTGTACTCAAACTCCCACAATGCACTGCGAGCAACGTCATAATCTCGCGACGCTACGTGAATCTCTGGGAGTCCACACGGCTGTTCTTGGGATACATCAAAATTAATACTTTTCCTACCCTTGTCCCGCAGTTGCAGCTCCAACAGCGTATATTTCCGAGCTTCTAATCTCAATTTCGTACCTCGTCAGTCAGCTAAACACGTTCGGAAGAAGCTTCTACTCGGGATTCCGGCGGAGTTTGAATTTTTCACGTGTAGCGTCTGAAAAAGTCTCTTTGAAAATGGAGCCTGAGCCTGGACAAGAATCAGCGAAATTTCTGCTGAACGCGTCTGCGCTGTATAAGGACAAATGCCCGGCGCTTTCACGGTTCCTTCTGTAAGAAACTTTGTTTAAAATTTAACATGAGTTCTGCTTTCACTAGCGGAGGCTGTGCTTTGGGTCCTGTATTGTTGTAATGGCAGCACGGAGGCGCTAGGTGGAGGAGCTCGACCGGTGACGGTTGACTTTTGAGCCAAAATGGTGGTAGCCTAACTCCGTGGGAAATTACGTTTTGCTAATGTGTTCATTAACTATAGCTTAATACTGAAACAGTTTCCAGAGTGACGTCTTAGACTTTTCCGCTGGGCAACTTTAAATGTATATTATGTAAAAGACAGAAGCCCAGCCAGTATTCTCATCTTTTTTTCATCATCTTTTTTTTTTTTTTTT